ACATCTCTGACCGGCATCTTCAGAGGACAGGAGCACAGACAGGAGCGGTTCTCTCTGTGCCCAGGATGGTGAACTTCCAGAACACAGCCATACAGCCCGGAAGACCCACATCAGCCATCATATTCCGGCCATGAAAGCCTTCGACAATACAATACCTATTTCTGTTTCAGTGCCATGGGGTATAAGATTATTAAATATACTTACTTCAGCTTTGTGTAATGATTTCATTGGAGTAGCAAGCAAATGAAAGTATCTATGCTTAAGATCACAGATTACAGATAACTTGAAATGTTCGTGGTTTTGATATACTATATTGAATTTTCTGAGGATCTTGCTGAAGTTCTTAAAACATACCTTTATCCTCCCCATCTCAAAATCTAGTGTTTCACTTTTTTGTGTAATTGTTGGTAAATGTAATACCAGCTGATGTCAGGGTGGCTCATTCAGTATAGTTTTTTTCTTTTGTGTGCAGTAAGCATGCTCATATTTTGATTTTATGACTTAAAAAAATGAGAAGGGAGTACAGAAATAATTTTGAAAGGAAATTGTGATGTTATGTCCAGATTGATAATTTGAACCTATTGCTTGGAATTTCTCTAAGCTGGAAAAAACTAGTATGATAGCAAGTGTATTTAGGATCAGTTCTGATCTTGTTTACTTTCTGCATGTGGTAGAGATGAGCTAGTACTCTCAGAAATACATTTAATAACAAAAATGGCTAATGGCCTCATTTCTGATGATTCACACTATTTATGTTCAGTTGTTTTGAGCCTGAAAAATGAAACTAGTTTAATTTGATGTTGTATGATCACTTTGCAGTCTTCTTTTTCCCACAAGACTTTTTAAATATATTGAACAATGAACACTCTTGAACACTCAATAAATAACCCTTGCCTTAATTGTTTTTTATTATGGGTTCCTTTGTTCTTTTGTCAGGCTACCTGCTTTTTCATTTGGCCTTAGATCACTTATACCTGTGGCAAGTGGCAAATGTCAAGGACTTAGCATCCAGTCCAACCCAAAGGCTAAATGTTAGCTGATATGATTCGAAATTTAAGGGCTGGTTTCTTTTCGTAATGATCTTCAGTAACAAGTTGGGATGTTGTGCCTTATCAAGACTACTTCCTCTTAGAGTTTTATTGTTGTTGGCACACAGTTTAAAATGGCCTTCCGTAAAGCTCTCAAAATGTGGGCTTTTTTAGCAAGCCTGGGGATCCCCTGGCAATAGGGAGCCTGCACTCTGTTTATACTGTACGTAAACATCTTCCCTCTTGTGGTTTTGTTTTATCTATGTTTATTGTTTTAAGGGGATTATAAAACAGTTTTATTGTACCCAGCCCAAAGTCACTTCTGTTGAGATGGGCAGCCATATAAATTTGACAAACAAACAAATATAAGCAAAGAGTGGCAGAGTGAGTCTACAATATAAAGCTTATAGAGCAACATCACAATATTATGTTGTTGTTTAAGAAATCTTTTACTCCTAGAGCCTTGAGTGCCTTTGTTATTAGACCTTTGAGTGTGACTGTTGCTGCCAGGCCCCATGCAGTGTAAGCATTCTGATCAAGAAGGATGATCCATAACTTTCAGAACTGTAGGGGGCACCTGGTATGGTCTTTCACTTAGAAATCTTGCATTCCTATGTGGTGTTCTATGCTGTTGAAATGGCTGAATATTTAGAGATGTTACATCATTTCTTGAAATGTTGGCATCAAGGGGGAAAGAAGCTGTTTTTACAGAAAAACAAATTTTGGAGGAAATAACATATACACTATTTTCTTTGCTATTTTACGGATCTGAAGTATATTTGTTAGCACACAAATGTTTTTATTAATGTAAGTATGAAATTTAACAGTAAGAGTACCTTTGTGTTATTAAACTGAAATTTAAAATATAGCATACGTAGACATGTGATGGGAAACCATGAGGGGTACCTGGCAATACAATTCCGTACATGCCTACTCAGAAGTAAGCCCCATCATTTTTAGTGCACTTACAGTGCTTTCAGGTAAGAATGTATGTAATGCTGTAGTTCTGTATACAACTGAGTGTATTTTACCATTTCATTCAGTAAGGATTAATTTTGAGTTGATACATATAGGATTTTACTCTGAAAAAGATTTTTTCATTTGGAGAAATAAAACTAGAAACTAACAATATTGTAATAAGCAAAATTAAGTTTATTATCAAGATTTATTTAAAATTAATTAGAAGTCCACTGCAGTTGTCAGCATTATCATACTGCTGAAGTAGCAATGTATATAAAAATGGAGTCAGATATATTTTTACAACACAGAGAAGATTCATTATTGTACACAGTAGAGATGAAGAATTCCTAGTCCTATAGATAATATTGTATTGCGACTACCAGGAGACCCAGCCAGTATAGCTTATACCCTCAGATGCTGGATGTTGTAGGTCAACAACATCTCAGAATCAGTGGCTCCCCGGAAGAGATATTTGTTTGTAATCTTAAAGGCGGTGAAGAGTTATCAAATTTGGTTTTACTTTTTGCAGTGAAGATCAGAAGTTACTTCTTTACATATTTTTTTCTCTATCCTTTCTTTTTTTCCTTCCTTCCTTCCTTCCTTCCTTCCTTCCTTCC